TGAAGCTGCATGTGATATACACAAAAAGATGATGCATTGAGAATGTCCATCTATTCGGTACAATTGCAGATGTGAATGATGCTGTTGGGACCTTAACAGAGCTGTAGAGTATGTCAATAAGTGCAAAAAAGTCAAAGTAACCATACCTCTAAATGTGACCCTTTGCGAGATATTGGTCCCCAAAAATCAGCCGCACACAATTGCGAGTTGCACTGTGCATTGTGTGTTCTGCTAAGAGTATCGTGTTTAACTATTTAACCAAAGTAACTATGTCAGCTTTGCATAGCCCACTTGACTATTTGTGGAGTACTTTATGTTATATAGTTTTGGAGGGGTGTGGGGGGTTTGCCCAACCTGGGTGCTGAGATGCAAGCAACAGCTGGCACCAAAGTGCATGACTAAATGCGGAGCATCAGTCAAAGTGAGTCTTGACAACACAGAGCATGGAGAATTAGTAGTAGTACTGGTATATGGGTATTTATTATTTGTTATAGACTCTGATTGCAATGCCAATAACATAACTTGCTTGCAAGCTCTGCAAGCAAGATGTCAACCAGAATTGGGTTGGGTAATGCCACCGTTGGGTTCCACATTTGGAGGCAAATATCTTGTAAAGGATTGAGTGTCAGACTTTTCTTTATTCTTTGCCAATAAATATCATTAGAATGTCTGATCACCATGGTACACTGACTTAAATACACGATAGAATTAGCAGAGTACACAGTGTGACTTCCTGTAGTGCCTGGAAGTAGACTTTAGGCTGATTTTGGGGAGGCTATATCTTGCAAAGGGTCACATTTACAGGTATGGTTCCTTTGACTTTTTTGCACCTATGAACATTCTACAGCTCTGTTAAGGTCCCAACAATGTCATTCACATCTGCAAACTTACCATATATTCAACTGTTCCAATTAAATTTTCATCTTGTGAAAATGAATGTAAAAAGAGAGTGGTTAACCAACCATGCATGTACAGTACATTCAGCTAGATAAATAACTGTCATCATTAGAGACACAAGCAAGCACATACAGAATGAATACTTGCAGATAAGTTTGTGATGGCTCTTCATTTGTCTTAGAATGCAAAATAAATGGTGATCCTTCTAAGACAGACTTGTCTTTGATTTGGTTAATAATAATCCCGCCATCAGACGGAAAAATTCAATCAAGACAATTTATTAATTAAAATTTCACTTACTTTACCACTTTAAAAATAATTGTAAGAGTCAAGACTCCTATAAATAAGCATTTCTTGGTAATTACAGGCTTTACTTTTAATAAAATATTCATATATAAGAGATNGCTACAATTAAAAATAAAATAATAAAAACTTACTTGGTGAAATAAAATGTGTGGTAGATGTACCGGTATATACCTAGTACAAAATATTCTTCAATTGTATGAATATACTTTTAAACAAAATTATAATTAAATATAGCTTTGTAAAGAAACGTACATAAAAATATAAAATATTCTTTACTTTTTAAATCTTAAAACAATGCACTTAGTCAAATAGCTCCCTACAAGTGGTTAATGGATGGAATCAAAGACGGTTGCAGAGTGTGCATACATGCGGACTGCCAAATCCCCAGGGTGCCGATACCAGTCAATGTCAAATACCTCTTTTGTCGCATCACTAGTATATCTCAAAGGACGCGACAGGGCTGTTGTAGATTTTAAATGTTTCTCACCATAGCTGTAAAAATCTAAATATGTTAAACTTAATTATCATTTGTTTTCTCACTAATTCGTTTTAGGACCACATGTCCTCAGAAATTTCCAAAATTTACAACTTTTCGGACACACTCATTAAACTGGAAAAATTTCTGTCTTTATTACATTAATAATACAAAGAAATCAGTCTCCAGTGTACTCGACTAGAGATGGTTCAGTTAAGCTTTTGTTTAAGTAAAATGTCAGCTCTTTCATCAGGGTTTTGTTTATGTCCCCAATTCCCTAATCGCTTAATTATTTAACTACTTCTTAAGTAGAAGTAAGTCGAAACCAGTTACTCTGTACTCGAATATTTGTAGTCTCGGGGAAAAAGTAGAAAGACAAATTTTTATGACAATGGATACATAAATTGTAAATGTAAGGAAAATAAATTCTAGAGCTTTTTCTGTACCTCATGCATCTCTCTCATTCATTAAATTTAGTTGTAAATGATGCTATCAAAGTAATGGTTAATTTTTTAGCATTATACAAGAATTGTACACGTTTTTTCTACATCCCTTTAGAGATGGGGTATACGAAATCATAATATCACTGGTTTAACATTGAAATCCGCGAGTAATATAAAATTGGAGAGCGGAATAAAAATATCAAATATTTTAATGGATTTTTTAAACTACTGTCAACTATACAGAACTATCATAAAAACATACCAGTAAATTCTTATCGGTTGGGTTAAGTTATAAATCTACTCGTGATTCACGTAATCGGGCAAGGGCTGCCAAATATCTAGCGGGCAGGCGTCTAACAGTCCAGAACCAGTCCTGGATAGAATTGGATGCAGTATACGTGTAGCATCCACCCAAGGTCCCTAGGCTTTCACTAGCTAAACCGGGTGAGGTTGGTGCTCTGTAAAGCACAAATGCAAATCTGGCTTTTTGGATGCTGACAATACAGTGCTTCCACTCCGCCACTAACATTCGAATATACAATAGCAATCTCATCTTTTTTTTTCATGTGTAGTATAGAAATTTGTAATAAGTTACATAATGCAGTTATAATAAAATATTGTGCAATTATTTTCATATAATTAAAATTAATATGTATTTATTTTTTAGAAAATACAAGAGAAGCGGCACATCCACCGCTTCCAATGATGGCACGCCACTGCTGCTTTAACAACAATACTTACAAAAATATGGTGTACCTATGGGCAGCCCCCTCTCGGGATTTATGTGACTTGGTGATCAGGCAGCTTGAAGAAAAAGTCATACTGCTATTCATTTCCAATATCCTCATATACAAGAGGTATGGTGATGACATCTTTATTCTATGGAAAGTGGAACCAAACATAAACCATTTCATAAATGCAATGAATGACAACCCATATGGCCTCACCATCAAATTGAATCAGAAGAGCAACACAGCCATACATTTTCTGGACATCATTACAAATCATGCTATAGGCCACTGTTCATCCCTGCCAACTCTGCAGACCCTTTCTCCTATAAGATCGCTGCCTTCCGTGCCCTAACAAAAAGACTTTCACACACCACACCAGATTTGAAGACACCAAAGCGGAATTGAAACGCATTCAGAACATTGTCATACAGCACGGATATAATAGAAACCTGATTTACAACCTTTCCTGTACTTACTCTACACAAATTGCCACACATGACACTTCTAACACACATGTAGCGACTCACGGAACACACAACCTAAATACCACACAGTCTCATGCAGTGGTAGAGCACCACCACCACCTCAACTCCATTTACAGAGAGATTGCCTTCCGTACCAACAAAAAGATTGCCTACAAGAGGCCCAGCACTGTATATGGGTTACTCTGCAGCGACAAGGACAAGACTGATAAAAAGAAAGCACTAGGTGTATACATGGTTCCTCTCTGGGACAACAGGTTTCAAAGGGAGTTAGTTTATATTAGGTCCACAAAACGCTCTTTTAATAAAAGATTGCAGGAACACAAATACAATATTGATAATAAAAGGCACATCACCACCCTATCCACCTATGCCACTGACCCCGGCATAAGAGCTGACCTCCATGAGGCCAAACTAATCAAGCTGTCTCATTGTGTTGAACACCTTCAAAACCTGGAGGCACTTGAAATTTACAAAGTCAGATTACATATCAATTGTATTAACTCTAAAGATGCCATCAATGTGTCTCACGCTTGGAAGTACTGCTATGAAGCAATAGGCAACTCCCACACCAGCAGTTGAAACCACATCCCCACCCTCATTTGGTTTATTTATATGTATTTGTATCACAGTTTATGTTACTTATACCGTTCCATCGCCATGGTAACGCACATGTGTAACTGTTTATACACATGCCTGGAGTGTTCCATTCTTTTAAAATCTGTTTGTACTGTTCCATGTTTTTGAAAATAATTTTGTAATTTTTTGTTCTTCGCATTCACTTGTTCGAATCTCACTGGTTTTTTAAACCTGAAGACCGAAAGTATGGTCAAAAGTGTTTGTTTTCTATTAAATATTAAGTACTAAACTTTTAAGGTTTATGAGTGTTAATTGATAATTAAAAGGTTAATGATTGTCTGACCTCCAAAAATTTGATCAAGGTTAGTGATGATTTATCATTGTTGTTTTAATACATAATTATTATTTATGAAAAGTTATTGGAACCAAAACCTTCTGGAATATTCTAATTGGTAATTGATAATGTAATACTTTATTAATTATAAAATATAAAAGGCTATGGAAAAATGTTTTTTTCATCTTTGTTACTTGATATTATTATTTAAATGGTTCTTAGAAATGGTTAAATTTCTAACAAATCATTTCTATAATATTGCCACATTAAAATAAAACAGCAACAATAATTCCAAAAACTTGCTTTCACATCTGGATAAAAAAACATTATATTTTTAATACTTTTATATTTTATTATTACTTATATTATTACATTTAACTGAGACAAACTTTTTTGTAAGATGTAATATATTATTAATAAAATTTCATGTTTTTATAAAATAATAAAACATTTAATATATTAGATTTTATCTAGTTTCCAGAAGAAATTAAGCAATATTTTTTTTGTCATTTTGTAAAATTGGAAAGCTTTTGTTGGCTTTGATCCAAAACTGAAAATTAGTCAGATTTATAAGCTATCTATTTTCACTTAAAGCAGAAATATCAAAATATTTTAAGTGAAAATTATTTCATTCAAAAATGAACTCAACATTAATGAGAAAAATAACATTATGGAAAATTATCATAAATAAGTCTTTTGAGTATCATAACTACAGTGTATTATATATTAAAATTAAAAAATAAATTAACTAACCTTGAGAATATCCAATCATATGAATACCATCTGGATTTTCTTTCATTATTTTTGATACAGAATTTCCAAATTCATGGATTTGTTCCCATAATGGAGAAAGACTTTTCAGTCCGTCATAAAGGTTTATAACAGTAACATTTGTCCTTGAATGTTTCTATAAATAAGTAAATTTAAATTTCAAACTTCAATATTTTATTCAATCAGTTCAGATTATACACATTATTTATTTAAGTAGAGATAAA